CCGAATTTACTTTATAATTCTAACAGGTTTGGTGAAGTGTTTAGGATATTATATATATATAAAATCACCACATGCAAATACATAGTTTTACTTCTTTTTTACCCAATTTGGATGCCTCTTATTTCTTTATCTTGCCTGATTGCTCTAGTTCTATGTTGAATAAGAGTGGTGGAAGTGGCTATCCTTATCTTGTTTCTGATTTTAGAGGAAAATCTCTGTGTCTTTTCCTATTGAGTATGATGTCAGCAGTGGGTTTGTCATATATTGCCTTATTATGTTTAGATATGTTTCTTTTATTCACAAGTTATTGAGAGTTTTTATCATGAAGGAATGTTGTGTTTTGTCAAATGGTTTTTCTACTCTATTGAGATGATCATGTGATTTTTATCTGTAATTTATCAATGAGTTGTCACATTTATTGATTTGTGTTTGTTGAACCATTTAAAAATATTTTTATTGATTTCAGAGAAGAAGGGAGAAGGAGAGAGAAATATAAACATCAGTGATGAGAGAGATTCATTGATTAGCTGCCTCTTGCACACCCCATACTGGGAATTGAGCCTACAACCTGTGCATGTGACCTGACTGGGAATCAAACCATGACTTCCTGGTTCATAGGTCAATGTTCAACCACTGAGTCACCCATGCCAGGCTGTTCAACCTTTTTTTCATCCCAGGGATAAATCCCAGTTGATAATGGAGCTTAATACTTTTAATGCATTATTGAATTTGATTTGCTTATGTTTTGCTGAGAATTTTTGCATCTATGTTTATGAGGGATATTTTGCTAGAGTTTTATTGCTTGTGTTTTCCTTTTTTTCTTTGGTATCAGGGTAATATTGATCTCATAAAATGTGTTTGGGACACTTTCACTTTCTAAAGATCTGTGTTTATTGCTGTTAACCTGTAAGCATTGTATATTGGGTGTGTGGAAACTTAACTTATTTAGTTCACATGTTTCCAAGCAAAGAAGAACTATAAGACATTGTTAAGAGACTGCTAGGAATCCCTCAAAGATTCAGTCCCAATTGGTGAAGATACTAATATGACCCCAGTTTGGTAAAAATCCTATATAATAAAAGGGTAATATGCAAATCAAATGGCAGAACGACACTTGCTAGGATGCACACTGACCACTAGGGGGCAGATGCTCAAGGCAGAAGCTGCCCCCTGGTGGTCAGTGCACTTCCACAGGGAGCTTTGCTCAGCCAGAAGCCAGTGTCCTGTGGGCGGCTGGCCTAAGCCATCAGTCAGACATCCCCCAAGGGCTCCTGGACTGTGAGAGGGTGCAGGCCGAGCTGAGGGACCACCCAAGTGCATGAAATTTGTGCACTAGGCCTCTAGTATAAACAGAAAAATGGAGAAATTGCAATGATCATATTAGTAAAAACAATTTTATAACATGAATTAAGTACTTCCAAGCACTGGCCAGATATTATTTTATCTAAGTTCACAACAACCCTTTTAGGTAGTTGTGCTATTATTGCCTTCATTTTAATAAATAACCAAGGCATAGTGAGATTAAGTAAAAAGGTCAAGGTCACAGAACTCATAACTAATTAAGTTAGAATTCAACCCAGGTAGGTCTGTCCAGAGCCTGAGCACATAATCACCATAACCATAATGAATGATTGTTCTGATGAAGACTTTAAATTTTGGGTGACCATACAACCTGGTTTGCTTGGGACAATTCTGCTTATTGTCCTGACATGGTTATTAATAACTCTCCTTTTCATGACCAAAGTTGTTGAGTTTGGATAATGAATGCTATGATCACCCTGTGTTGAGAGTTCCTCCCAGATGTCATAATACTGAAAGTCTAGAAAGGAAAATTGGAACTTGCTTCAATTAGGTCATGAGGGCACATGAAAGTGTGCAGAAATGGAATCAGCTGGGAGCATTTCTCATTTTCTCCATCCATCACTCTAGAGAGCAATTAACTGAAAATGGTGCTTTCTGTTAATTGCCTCTTCTCTTTCCACACTAGACCCAAGGAGACACTTAAGAGAATTCCTATTTGGAAGTACCTCTCTTGCAGCCATGGCTAGTAGGAACCATGGCCAAGAGCCCAGAGCCTAAAAAGTAAATCTCTTCATCCTGAATGCTCATATGATGTCTATAGCCTCTAATTCCTGGAAGAACTCTATGCACATTAGATACCTAGAGTGCAGTCAATATTCAGGTCCAGCATAAGGCAGCTGTGGGGGCCTCATCTCCCAGATTTCTATAAGACACCTGTTGAATAATCTACAAGAATACCTGGGTGAGTAAAATAGAAATAGCTTTCTTTCTTCAATTTGGCTTTATTTCACTCTTGCAATCCTGTTCTTCTGTGCCCTAAAACCAGAGAGCTTATGTATTCAGGTTCCATGACCATTTTAACTTTTCATTTGCTTACAGTAGCCATGCTCCATATTCTCTATCCAATGGGATTCTTTGAATTTTAACAAAAACCCAGGTATTTGAACCAAAAGAAAACCATCTAACATGGAATTTCAGGCATTAGTAAGTAGGTGGAGTGAGGATTGGAGAGCATGGAGATTTGCTGATAGCTCACCAACTGGGCCAAGGAGCCCTACATTTTAACCACCAAATGATCTATTTTTCCCCCTGTAAAATATTTTTATTTAACAAAATACCTTTCTGATATAATCATTATTATTCATTATTAATATAATAATCCTCATTTAAAAAACATATTTTATTGGTTTTTTAAAGAGAAAAAGGGTCAGGGGTAGAGAGTTAGAAAGAAACATCGATCAGCTGCCTCCTACACATCTCCCACTGGGGATGTGCCCGCAACCAAGGTACACGCCCTTGGACAGAATCGAACCTGGGACCCTTCCGTTTATAGGCCGACACTCTGTCCACTGAGCCAAACCGGTCAGGGCAATAATTCTCATTTTTGATAGCTTACTATGTGACCAGGACTCTATTATGTACTTTACATACCATCCTAAAATAGGTTTTCACAAAAACTCTATGAAGTGATGAACATTCTTCCCTTACAGATTAAGAAATTAGGCACATACAGAAAATATTTTATATGATTAGAATTATTGTTTTCTTTTAATACTTAGTACAACTTGTTGATAAAACCATTTTGGCCTCAAGTTTTCTTCAAGGGAAGACTTTTACTACTGATAGAAATTTTTTTAGTGTTTATAGAATATTCAAATTTTCTATTCTAGTTTTGGCAAGTTATATTTTTTACATTTTATTTAAGTTTTAAAACTCATTGATATAATATTGCTTAGAGTATTCTCTCATTACCTTTATAATATCTCCAGGATCTAGCACTATATCCTCATTTTCATTGTTTTAAAATTTTTTTTGGCTTGGTGTCATCAGATCTATCAAAAATCAACTTTGATTTTCTTGTATTATTTTGAAATTATACCGAATTTAAAAATTTTTATTCTTTCCTCTCTAAGAATTATGATCAGGTCATTTGTTTTCTTCAATCTTTTATATGCACTTAAGACAAATGTATCTCTCTACATACATTTTTAGTTAAATCTACAAGATTTATTAAGTGTTATCACCAAAAAACATAATAATAATTATGTGACATGATAGAGGTGTTAGCTAAAGTTATGATGGTAATCATACCATAATATGTAAATGTATCAAATCAATACATTCTACATTTAAAACTCATATAATATTTATGTGTCAATTATATTTCAATTAAGAAACTAAAAATCTGATAAATAGTATGTCTCAATATATTTAAATTACGAATATTTTTAAATTTCTATTAAAATTTGTTATTTGACATCTTAATAGTTTATAAATATATAATTGGTTTTCCATTATAATGTTTCTTAGTTGTAAATTTGTTATTGATTTGTAACAATAATTCAACAATAGTCTGATAATGTTATCTCTAAGACCAGCCCTTTAACATTTAAATTTTAAGTTATTCACAAACCAAAGGGTGCTTCAAAATTGTATTAGAAAGCTATTCCTAGGAGGGGGGGAAAGTGGAGGAATGGGATATATCTGTAATACTATCAACAATAAAAAAATATATATATATATTTTCTTTTTACCTTTTATTTTTATTTTTTTATTTTTTTAATTGCTTAAAGTATTACAAAGGGTATTACATATGTGTCTTTTTTTTCCCCCCGCCCTTGACTATCCCCTGGCCTCCCCCACCCCCCAGCGTCCCATGTCCATTGGTTATGCATATATGCATGTATACAAGTCCTTCGGTTGATCTCTTATACCCCTCCCTCCTGCCCCCCAACTTTCCCCGGCCAAAAATATATATTTTTAAAAAGGAAGCTATTCCTTATTGACATCACTTTATATAATAGTATATCCATGGCAGGCACTGTATATAATGGAACTAATTTAACCTCAAAGAGCCCTCTGAGATAGGTCCTATTGTTCTTGTCATCCTTATTTTACAGATAAAGTAACAGGCAGAAAGATCATAGACAATCTGTTCAGAGTAAAAAAGCTCACATATAGCAGAGCCACAATCCAAAACCAGCCATATGACATCTAAGGCCATGCTCTTAGTCACTAAGCTTTCCATAGGAGTTATAACGCCATTACTAATATTCTAAAACTTCCAAATCACGGTTTAAATAATTTTTAAAAAAATTTCAATATACTTTCTTTTGTGTTTAAAGAGCCTGATGGGTTAACATTGAAAAGTATAATTATCCTCTTTTATATGTGGGAAAATTGACTCATAAAACCATTAGAGCTATTTAGAGGCAAATTTAACCAGGGTCATCTAAAATGGCTCACTGTTTCTCTTGACTCTATGTTCAATGTGGGTAGAAGGTAGTTTATTTTAATAGACTTGAGATAACAACTGACTGAGAGATTTATTCTCTTCTCTTCCTGCAGATTCTAGGATCACCAACGCAATGCTTGGGAGAAGGAACAGTACAATGATTATGAAGTTCATTCTCTTGGGATTCTCTGAATTTCCAAAGCTCACCATTGTCCTCTTTTCAATATTCCTAGGGATCTACCTGATGACAGTGTCCTGGAATATGGGCCTCATCACTCTCATCAGGACTAACTCCAATCTGCACACACCTATGTACTTTTTCCTCAGTTACTTGTCCCTGTTGGACATCTGCTATGTTTCTACTACTGTCCCCAAGATGCTCTCAGACTTCTTCAAGAAGCACAAATTCATCTCCTTTATGGGGTGCACCATGCAATACTTCTTCTTCTCTGGCCTGGCTCTGACTGAATGCTGTCTCCTGACAGCCATGGCTTATGACAGATATGCTGCCATTTGTAATCCTCTGCTTTACACAGCCATCATGTCCCCCACCCTCTGTGTGCAGATGGTGGCAGCATCT